CCCCCCCCACCCCATGCCCCCTTTCTGTTTCTCCACCCTGGAGTCCAAAACATCCAGGGAAACATGGATTAAGCCCTTTACAGGCACAGTTTCATCTTGGGTTGCCTCACCTGCATGCACAGCCTGCTGCCTCACACTGTGCCCTGTTGCAGCTGGTGGCTCAGTGCAGACACACCAGGGAATCTCTCAGCCCCTCGGTTGCCTGTTTGGGGACTGGAGTGTGTGTGGGCTGCAGGGATGAAACGAATGCCCCTGGCCAGAGCAGGCAGCAGTAGTGCTGATGTACCAGGGCAGTGATGCTGCTGAAGGGGATGACTCTTGCTGTGGTAGTGTTGGTGAAGAGTCCCTCGAGTGTGGCTGCCTTGCAGCACACTGCCGACTTGGCCTGCCAGGGAGTCCTTCAAGCCCTGATGCTTTGTCACGCAGGTGTCCCCTTTCTCAGCGCACCTGAGAATGCCGCGCAAATCCTCACCCTGCATCCCCATGTAGGTGATGGGACCCAGAAATCCACAGGAGTTCAGAGAAAGCTGCGAGGGGGTAGCCTGTTCTGCGCTCCTCCTGAAAACTTTTGTAAACATGTTGCTAATGGGTTCGATGGAAAACCCTCTAAAGAGATATTGTGCCAAATTTGGAGACTAATTTCAGTCATTAAGGTGCGAAGTGAGGGATTTTAATGCTGCTTTAAGTGTAAATCTCAAGGCAGTTCCAAGGATTGGAGTCGCTGATGATCCCTCCTTGATCATTATTAGTGATTCTAATCTTTCCAGTGGAAAATGAACAGAAATGACACCCTCTTGTGTCTTATCTGTTGCTGATTTCTGTGAACTCTTCTTGTCAGGCTGTGCAAGGGAGATTCCCATAGTGGCATCATTCTCGGGTGGGAGGGGAAAGAGGGCTGAGAACATTTTAATATTGCTGCCTGTTTAATTAGATGTTGGCACTGCTTTGTAACTACTGACATATAAAGCTGAAAGTCCCATCAGGCTAACGGCATCCTCATCTTCTCGGATCCTTACTCTGGTGGCCAGTGCAAAGCAATCATGAAATGGGTGTAGCTGTAATCTTGGTCCACTGGAAGGTCTTTCCCACCACCAGAGACTTACATAGGTCTGGTAGGCTGCACATACCCAGTGATGGCCTGTGCCTGGTATTAGCCAGTACCAGAGCAATGCAAACAGCTGGAAAAGAAATGCCAGAAAAAGAGCATGTGTGGTCCTGACATGGGATGTTTTAGGCCATTATGAACAGTTGCATGGCTAAGATTTTCCATGCGGCTGATGTTTTGGAGTTCTCTCAGTTTTTCGGTGCTGAATGGGTCCAGCTTTTGGAAAATAACAAATTATCTGCCTTTGAAAATCATCCTGTTGCAAATGTTTCACACTGGGCTCCTTTACAGCTGTGTTTCTTATGCTGTGCATGCCCCCTGAAGGTCACAACATGGAGCAAGTAAGGAATATCCTTTAGAAGTAAACGTGATTGCTGATTGCACTTGGTAATGGGGAATTAGTACATGAGTTTGATTGATTAATGGAGTTAAAACAGAAAAGTTTGGGAAAAGGAAGAAACTAAAACCATGACTTGTTTCTTTGTTTGTTTGAAGAAGTTTTCCTGTTACAAATGCCTTCATTATATTAGCAGGAAGTCCTCTGTGTGCAGATAGTGGGAAAGTGTTAATCCGCTGAAAGAATGGATTTTTTTTCTTTTTTTTTTCTTGAAATTGATTCAAATTGAGTTCAGAAGGGACGAGCTGAAGATGAATATCCAGAAATGTTTCCTGGTGTCATGATGTAATAGAGCAGAAGAACCTCTCATGTCTGTAATGGAAATGTTGCTTGTGTAATTTATAGGAAAACTGGGCAAAGCATAGGAAGGCAGAGTCCTGGAGCTAGCCCTGCAGGCAGCTTGGTCACCTCTGCTTCTCACGGTGATGTGATGCTGCTGGTGCTAGAGCAGGTGTATAAAGGCAAAATCTACTTCATGCAACAGGATTGTGAATTGAAGTGAAATATATAAACAGGGAAAACTGTCAGAGTGCCATGGAGATGTCATATAAGCCACTGAACTGTGAAATGTGTATTTGCCTCCTCCTCTTCCCCACAGTGTCATTGTGGACAGTCTGACAGTTAAGAAAACAATAGACCTGATTCTCATTTACAGCAACACCACTTTGACATGCTCTCACAATGCAGGAAGGCCTTGAAATGAGCGTAGCTGTAATACTAGTCCATTTAAAGGTCTTCCCTACTGCCAGAACTGAGTGAAGAGGCCTTAGGATAAATAAGATTGAAGCCCGGACTGTTTAATAGTCCATTTGTGCAGCTGACATGAGATGCCCCAAAGGGGGGTGCCTTGTGCAGAAGTGACGGGGCCTTTCCAGACAAAGAGAATCATTAATGTTGGCTGCAGGGATTTGCAGGGCTGATCACCCTTTAGTTTGATCTTGCCGGGTATAAGGCATGACTCTGTCCCTAGGGAAAAGGACTTTCAATGGGCTTTCTTAACATTCACTGTCCCTATTCCTAAGCTGCTTCAGATGATTGCTTTGGGCCCTGTGAGGTATGCTGGCTGATAGGGACGGAGCTTCTTGCAGGTATGCTGCTCCTTACTCTGCAGCTTCCCTTATCATTGCCTTGATGTTTGGGCTGGGGGGAGGCTCTCTCCACTGCTTTACCTGTAGGACATTGTTGTCCTCAAATGACATGTGAAATCCCCTTTGGAGAGTGAGCAAAGTGTAGTCTGCGGAGCATGTTTACATGGCTAATTGCTACGGATCCCTAAGCCCTTTGTGGTAAGGGGAAATCAAGGACTATGGGCACACGTGTGTATGTGTGACTCTTAGGTGTGCTTTCAGGAATTCATTGAGAGCCAATGTGGGAGGGACATCACTTCCCTATCCCAGTCATAAAATGGGGGCAATTGCCTTGCCTTTCCTGATTGTCTCAGCTCCTGAAGTAATTGTCTTGTTTCTCCAACTCCCTTTCTCTTAGATTTCCCATTGTTTGCACTGTGCTCCTACCCACCCAGCTTAAGCTGCAGGGGAGAGGCAGGCTCTCATTTCAGGTTTGGTTCCCAAGTGTTAACATTCTCCTTGCTCTTTTCTCTCTCCTGCAGGTACCTGATCAATGTCACCTTTGAAGGCAGGAATTTGTCGTTCAGTGAAGACGGATACCAGATGCATCCCAAGCTGGTGATCATCCTTCTGACCAAGGAGAGGAAGTGGGAGAGGGTAGGACATGTTTGGTAATTCTCAAACTGCGTCAGGGAGGAGGATGGAGGAAGGCTCCAGGCAGATAATCCCCCCAACCTTTCTGTACTTCTTATCAAGGGCTGGCAATCTTCTCCTTGCATCCTGGACCACTGATATCTCCAATACCCAGGCTGCTGTCTTCTCTATGCAGCATGCCATTACATTCTTCCATTAGCATGCATAAAAAATTCATCAGCTTCCCTTCTGTAACCTCTCAACAAAAGTTTTCCTTCCTTTTAGAGAAGAGACCTTCTCTGTGCTATGGGTTTCAATAGCAGCAACAGAAAATATTTCTCTGTATGGCTTGGAGGCAGTGAAGTTCTCTATGCTAAACGACTATGATTGAGCTACAGCCACACTTAGTAATATATGCCAGTGTTAACTACATTTGATATATCTGGCCAGTGTCAATTGCAATGGGATGGTGCATTAAGTAGGATGTGTACGTGAGATCATATCGAGTTGTTCAAAGATCCAGATTTGCATATTTCTGAATAATTTGCATATAACCCAAAGCACCATTTTAGAAATGGTGTGGATTTCTATGTTAGTGCAAAGCTTTGGTTCATTTCACCTCCCACATAAATGTTAGTGGCCCAGGCTCAGAACAAACACTCCTAAAGGGTTTGAGTTGAAGTAGAGGGGGTAGTTTGAGGGCTAAGAAAATAAGATATAAAAAAGTGATGGGGGTGAGAAGTCAGAGTGAAAGCAAGGAGAACTCAGCAGAGCACTCAACAGATAATGAAGCAGAGCTTGCTCTGGATGTGATCAAGTGTAGGGCTTAGAAAAATGCCCCTTTGCCCCATCAGGCGCAGAAAGCCTTCTTTCCTTGGTTGCTTGTTCTCTGCATGGACTTGCAAGTGGCCTGAATGGGCAAAGCCAGGAAGAAATTAATGAGGAGATGAGAATGAAATAGGGAGCTGTCAAAAGTGCATTCAGAAGAGGGCTGAAGGAATAAGTTTTGAAGGAGGCAGAAGAGCCGTTGCACTAGTGCCTGGCAGGCACTAAGGTCTCCCCGGAGTTGCAGAAGTTTGGGGAGAGGGTGAAAGGCCCCAGGTTGTACTTGGCTTCCAGGAAGACCCATTACATCATGGTGTTGGCACTGTGCAGACCAGATGAGAGAGTATGGTCTGGGAGAGTCAGCAGAGGTCTCAGTGGGACAGAAGTGTGAAGAAATGTATGGCATGGCATCAGCACATGTGGACAACTCTCAGATGTGTTTGGAGGCAGGCTGGCTGGATATTGCAAAGGGAGTGGGCAGGCAAGGCTGCAGAGACCTCACATCAGGCTCTGTCCATCGCACAACCTCTCTAAAGACCACCAGGCAAAGTCCAGGAGGATATCTTCCTAGCTGGCACCAAATTTGTTCTCACAGAGGAAAACTCAATTGTCAGAGCAGGAAAACAAAGCAGTAGCTGCATGAATCCTGCTAAGGATTATTAGCAGGGCTGGCTGTGAGGAATCTGTTCCTGGGATGCTTTGCAGGCCCTGGGGAGGCACAGCTAAATGCAGTCCTGTTTTTATCCTGCTTGTCACATGCATTACCCTGTCACACCCTCAGTGAGGGCTTGGGGGCTTCCATGAGTGGTAAGAGGGGTTGTTCAGTCTCTGAGAGCATATCCATGGTCTTTCAGATGAACCAGAGAATTAGTGGAAGGGATGCTGGTGAACTGGAATGTTGGTGTTAGACCTGGGACCTGCCTGAGCCTTGCTGTCTGCGGGGACTACTTGGTATCCATTAACTAGATGGATCTTAATCTAAGAACTAGAACAGTTCTTAATTTCATAGGAGCTAGGACTGGCCTGAAATGAGACTATGATGAACTATGGTATTAGTGGTATGAAAAGCCCATAGTGCTTCCTGAACACAAATGTTTCATCTTGAAGTCAGTGTCTCCCTCAGCCGGAGATCAGATTATTATAATCAAACTCTGAGCTGTTTGAATTTTACACTGGCAGGTTCTTCCTGGAAAACACAGAAGTCATCTCCAACACACTCTGATCACAGACAAATACCTTTCATACCTGGAACCCCATACTCTTTTTCCTCATTTTCTCCATTCAGCAGAAATGCAAACACTAATGTACAAGGGTGAAACAGAGCTTTCTGGGGCAAAGATCAAATTTTATTCCATGTTTGCAGAGAGTCAAGCAAAGCAGAGTGCTGGCCCTTAACAGCAGCTCCCAGGCAATGCCACAATACAAGCCATAAATTATTCATATATTATTAGCACACAATCCCAATACCTTTGTAAGTGCATTGTTTTGCAGTGTAAAATCATCCAAATGCTCAGTAATTTTTGCTAAAGTAGCAACGTGCTTTGTCCTGGCAACTTCTAGGCAATATGTAGAAGAAACTGCTTAAAACGCAGGAGAATTTCCAAGTCAAACACTCAGGCAGTAGGAGACGAGAGATGAAAGGCTGCATGGGAAACAGTGATTCAGTCCACTTGTGTGTGTTCACTATAGCTCAGTCTTTAGTTACATGGCTGCACACTTTTATCCATAATCAGATGCCGTACCTGGGAGGAACATCAAGAGGTCATTTATTCTCACCGCCCTGTGCCCAAGGGAGGGATCAACTAGAATGAAATTATTCCTGACAGATGTTTGTCTCACCTGTTCTGAGAGTCCTTCGATGCTAGAAACTCCATGAAATCCTAAGGCAATCTCTTCCATGGCTTCTTTCTCCTTACCCTGGGAAGTTTTTCTGTTGTCTAACCTAGATTTCCCTGACTGCAGTTTATGCCCATTACTACTTGGCATCTCCCTAGTGGACATAGAGAATTGTTTATTCTCTTCCTCTTTTTACTTTCCCTATGTATGTTTGAGGGCTTCTATCATGTCTCCCAGTCATCTCTGCTGTAGATTAAACAAGAATTTGTTCAGTCTGTCCTGGTAGGTCATGTTTGCTAGTCTTCTGAAAATTTTTATTACTCTCCTCTGGATTTAGTGACAAAGTTTGCTGCTCTGTACAGCTTGGTGCAGTTGATTCTTGAAAGATGGCAAATAGATTGTGAGGAGTACATCTCATGAGGTGTATATATATATATATATAAAGCAGGTGTGAAGCCTTCCATTTTCTTAGCAGCAAAGATGCAGACGGTGATTGAACTATTTCAGGATTTCAGGTCTGAAATTTTTTTATATTTTGATTTTTTGGTCCCAATTTGGGAAGAAATATCTTCAAAACCTCACCAGTTATTTCAGAACAGGAATTCATTTTCCAGAAAAGCTACAGCTGTCCCCAGACTCTGATGGTGATAAATCTCCTCCTGCATCCTTCAGCTAGACTGAAGCCTCGTGGGGCTGACAATCATGAAAGAATGTGTAGAGCAACCACCTTCTGGAAAGGGGCAGTAATCTGAGCTTTTCTGCTCTTGTAGCCATGAGTAAAGATTCCTCTTCTGATAAGCAAATGTGATGCATTTAATTCACTTCTCTGTTCTCTGCTCCTTAGGGGCAGAAGACTGCACGCCTTCCCTCACCACCCTTTAACTGGCTAGGTAAAAGAGCTCTTTGCTTCACTGGCCAGACAGCCTAGGTGTGTTTTGGGTGCCTAGATGCCCCTGTTGTATTTATCATAGAGGGGCAGTTACACAGAAGGAGGTGGTGACGGAGGTCCACCCTTATGCCCCATGAAGGGCCCTGCCTCAATGTAGTGCTGAGCTGGGGCCAGAGGTCTCACAAGGTGAGCCAGAGGATTGGTACTACACTAGGTTTTGTGTCTGTGGGTTGTGGTGTTTTGTGTGGAAAGAGTTTTCGTCCAGGCTTTTTCTTTACTTTACTGATTGCCTTTCTCTTCTGCTCTCCTATAATCCCACATATGATGAGTACTTATTTCTGGGTTTGTGATCCCTTCGTGAGAGCTGGCAAGTGCTGCTCTCCAGCTCTTGCTCACATGCATCTTCCCTGCTGAGGCAGGGCACAGCAGTCCTGTCCCATTAGCTCCCAGCTCCTCCTGTCTGCTGCCTCACTTTCCCTTGCAAACCTGGGGATGACATGAATGTTACTGTCTCTGAGAACCTCTTTGCGATTCTTTCTCTGTAATTTCTTTAATTTCTAGTGAGTTTTGCATCACTTCTGTCACCAGGTTGTTCTCGGTCTCTCCCTTTTGCTGATGTTTCTCTGCCTCTTCCCTTAGGTGTGTCACTGGGGATTCAGAGCACCTTTCTGTGTGGCTTATGACAGCAACCTCTCTTGCCACCCCACAGAGCCCTTTGATTTCAGGCTCCCTGGGGCATCTCTTACCATGCATGCTCCAGTAACTCGTGCTCCTGGATGGATGAGCAAAGCCCCAGATGATGGGTTTGGTCAGGGTGCCACTACAAGCCATCTTAGAGGTGGACAGATGGGAAACTTATGCTGACAGATTCATTCTCCCAGCTGCATGTGCTAATCCTCTGCCCCTATCAACCCTCACCTACCTCAGCAGATAAAATGTTTGCCTGCTGTTGCTCCTATAATTATCAGTGTTTGACTTTTGAACTCTTGAAAATCAATTAGCAGCATCTGTTCTGCTTCCTCTAGCCATCGGTGTGGCCATGATTACAAATTCACAGACAGGCTGCTCTTAGCCTGTTCTCCTACACCATTGCACACATCAGTACTCCCTGGGAATGGGGCCATTTGCCGTAACATGCTGTCAGCTGCCTCAGTGACTGTAGACTTCCAGTACTCCCTAATGCTGAAATAGGGTGAAAAACAGTCCCACTACTCTTTGCCACATGGGCTTTCCAGAAATCTGTTCAGTCTTGGTCGTAGTCAACATAAGGTGGTTGTGTGATAACTTGTGTGACACTGTCCCCTGCTTGGGACAGAGCAGTGTCATGCCCATCCATGCTTGGGAAAGGCTCCCTGAGGATGTGGGAAGAAGCTACAGAAAGGAAAGAAGGACTTAGAAAAGAAAAATGGAAAAAGAAGTTTGTTTCATCTGAAAAAAGAGGAAGGGGAACAAGATGAGTGTTTGGACATCTAAA